CCGGGCTAGCTGCAAGCAAGACAAGTGTCATAATCCCTATTGTTCTGGCCACCTGAACACTCATGGTTTTGTCTATCTAAAATTGAAATTTGGGCTGAGTACCCTGAAATCCCACCCATGGTTTTAATGGCGTGACTGACTACCCATGCCTCCACCAAGGCCCTTCCCTCCCCACCAGCCTTCCACTAGCTTGTGTTTTTCTGGCCCAATGCCTCTGAGTTGCTTTCATGGTTAAGTTTGGTATATTATCATTTCAAGGTCATGTTCAACTTTACATATTCAGTGGTCCTCCTAAGCCTCAGTCCTATTCTTTGCCTCTTTCCTTTCCTGGATTTCAGCTCTCTGTCATCCCCTCCAAGCTCCTCCTTTATCCCCGTCTCTTCTATCTCTGTTTCATAACTGAACTTCACTACTCAAAGATTCCTAAAGCACAAGTCTGATCAAGTTTATTCCTGTCCTCCAGCGGCTCCCTAGCACAGATAATTCCTATGCCTTGGCTTTTCACCTCAGAAAAATTTAAAAAAAAAACCCCATAAACCTGTTTTTATTTCTTCCTCTATCATTCAACAAGTCATATGTATATTTTTTTTTCCCAAAAGAAAGTAGTAAAGAAAACTAAACTAACAATTTCCAGACCTTCATACCCAGTTAGTTCTTTCTTTTCTCTGGGATCTGTATAGATCCTTTTTCCCACCTGAATTCTCTTTCTCATTTTTTCTGTCTACTGGATGTCCATGCATCAAGCAGGGCCAAACCCAAATATCACCAATCTATTACAGCTGTGTGTGCTGGCTACTGGTAAGTTTAGCTGAGTCTGAAAAGTAAGAGACTACCCACTTAGCTATTTAAGAGTGGAACACACCTATCTTCAGCCAGATGTACTCTACTGTTTTCCCAAGGCACTTTTTATAGGCCAATTTTATCACCCCAAACACAGCGAGCTAATACTTTGACTTCATACTTCACTGTACAAGAATTTCTTTTAAGGGCAGTAAGTATGTTAATTATTCGACTCCCTGAGCAAAAAAAAAAAAAAAAAAAAAAAAAAGAATACCTTATGCATGGCCAGTTTTCAATTATTTCTTAAAGAAGTAAAAATTTTTGTGGTACCCTAAACACTGCAATTATAACCATGTACTTAAGAACTCTAGAATAACATCCCAAAAGAGAAATGAAAATATCTCAGGGAATATACTCGTCCAAATGCTGAAATTGTGAAACACACTGAATTCAATAACGACCTTTATTCTTGTTCATGTTTTATGCCCATTTTTTTCTCCCTGAATATTTTACATGGTAAGTTCACTAAGGACAGAGATTTGAAATTTCTGTCAGCTCCAATAATTCATTCCAGTAGCATAGGTATTCCTGTGATATTTGTCCCTTACCTATCATTCACTTTCTGAACTTATATTTTTCTTCTATGAATGGGCATCATTTGATGGCATATTCTTTCAACTAGTTTATATCTTTTTCTAATGAGGAGAAGCTGAAACTTCTTTGTTCCATTACAGAGCCTTGACTAAAATAAGTAATCAATAAATACTTGATGAAAGATTTTGGAGACATTAATCAGGACACAAGGAGAGATTTTGAAAATGATTCTGAAAGAGATGTTTAATACTATAAACTGAAAACCTTCTTGCAAAGATATACCTCCTTGCAACCCTTCATGACAGGTATGCACTGATAATTCTAGAAGAGTCTGCAAACTGAGGACAGACAACTAAGGTGAGTGAGTAGTTGAACACACCTGTCTCACCATACATGTGAGGTTGCAAAATTCTCCACCTGTGAACCACTTTACCTGAAACTATCAGTTTGGCAATGTCTGGTTGTTTTTTATTGTTGTTGTTTGTTGTTTTTGTTGTTGTTTTGTTTTGGGTCTCACCTAGCACTGCTCAGGGTTATTCCTATCTCTGCACTCAGGAATCACTTGGAGGATCATATGGGATGCCAGGAACAAATCTGGTCAGCCACATGCAAGGCAAGCACCTCCCCGCACCCTGCCACTGTACTATTTATCTGGCCCCACTGTTTGTATTTTTAATTATCCTGCCAATAAGTGGCTTATATTTGAGAGATTATGAGTAGGTAATAGGAATGAAATGATCTGGGCAAAGTTATTGGATGATGTTTCAACCAATAGCTTCATTTGCTTAGTCCACTACAGATTGCTGAATTTCTGTCAGATGCAATTCTCATGTGCTAAGTTTTGGAAGGCAGGATCTTGAAGATAAATCAGTAAGACAAAGTGATTCGAGTAGGAGGTCAAAATGAAGGAGTCTGAGATATAATAATGAGTCGCCAGAGAGGAGAGTGCCTAGAGCTTAGAATTGTTCCTGGCAAATTTTCACATTTCATTCACAGGGTGAGGAATTTCTGATAAGGGCCAAGGGAGACTGAACACTTTAAAGGAATCAAAAACATTTGACAAAAGGTGCTTCAGAAGTTTGCACTCAGCTACCATCTATGTATCCATGCACCAGCTGAACTCTAGAGGAACGGATATCAAGGCAGTAGCCTTTGGTATAATATACCAAGGTATAATATAGCAAGGTATAATATCCAATCTAAGTTGAACTGAAGTATGCAGTCCAAATGGCCCTGACTATGACAAGGATGCAGTCATGAGGCTGACTAACATGCTCTCTTGCCTTTCTCAGGTCACTAAGTCCCTGGAATATCTTGGAAATTTTATTTGGAGGAAAGGGCCTTTAGGATAGTGGGAAGGAAAGCTGATATTCAAGTAAAGGAAAATAAGGTCAAATGTAGGAAGTCTAAGGTCTAAATGTAGGAAGACGCGTGGCCTTAAACTGTGACAAGAAAACTGCACATGCTTTCAGAACTGCTGCTCAACAAGAGTTATCGTTGTGTTTGGGGGATAAGGAATCCAAAGAAACGAGATACAAGCAACCGAATGGCCACTTCTGTGAGTCTGAGATCTCATTGAGAAGGGGGAGTGGCAGACATTCTAGCAAATTCCAAAAGAATTCAAGTTTGCACGAGAGGGCTGTCCTGTCGACAAGGCTGGCGGCACCTTCCTCTGGCACTGTGTACATTAGAACCTCCAGGGAGCTGTTTGAAAAAATCCAAAATGTCTTCGGGCACTCCCCCAGAGATTCAGATTTAATTAGCCTATGCTGGCAACCGTATTTTTCAAAGCTGCCCAAGTAATTAAGAACGAGCAAGAGTTGAGAACTACCAGGAGAGCTAAGAGATATGAAGGTGGGGGAGAGGTGAGACAATAAATCACCTTTCAGGTTTAAAACAGATTCTGTTCTTAAATACAGAATTCGTGTTTAAGAAAGTGTGCCCTGACCACAGTTGGTTCCTGTGATGGTATGTGATGGCACAGGGGATAACACACACATACATGCACCACACTGCTCAACCCACTGAGATATATAAGCATAAGAACATACTTAAATATTAGAAAACAAAACAGAATCTGAAGATCTGGTTTAAAAATGAACCTCCAGTGTGGCTTGGGAGAAGGCAACGGCAGGTACTGGAGGCTGGAAAATGAACTTTTTGACATGGTCATCGGGAAAATTGTAACGAGGACACAGAAGAAACTTCTGAAAGAACTAAGCTAGTAACCCGGTAAAAGGAGTTTGGGGTACATGGCGGGAACGTGGCCCAAGTCCCTATAACATCTTTCTTCTCGGCTCCTTTCCTGTCTCCCTCCCAGGGCTCCACCAGTGCCATCCTATCCCGGTCACGGGGTTACCTGCACCTCCTGGGAGCCTTCAGATGCTCCTGCGCTGGGCGCAGGCTCCACTCGGCTGGCCTCTTCTCCTCCCGATCTGATTACTGATGGCTCAGCCTGCCACTCGCCTGTCTCCTTTTCCAGATTCCAATCTGAGCTAAACTTAATTTAGGGTGCCTGAGCCTTCGAACCTGATAGGGCAGAAAATCAATGCTCCCGAGGTGTTCCAGTCCCACCGGCCACAAAAGTGAAACCGAAGCACCCCAAATCCAGGTTATGCAAACTCCAAAGGAGGGGGTGAGGGGGGAGAGACATGAAAACCCCAAAGCGAGCAAACAAATCCAGCCTGCAGGAAAGGCCCTGCTTTCGCGAACATTTTGCCCTGTATTTGCCATTCTCGGGGCATGATGCAAGCGCTGGTTGCCCAATTTGTATTTGCACACTCCCGCCCCCCACCTCTCTGATCCACAACGAGCCCTTAAAGTTTCTAAGCTCCCCAAATTCCCTTTGCAAAAAAGTTCCTTCTCGAGTCAGAGGAGGGTTCCAGGAGAAGCCAGGTGACCTCACCTTCACCTGGGCCCAACAAAGTGTGGCGTGAAGGGGAAGGTGTGCCACGGCCTAGGCGGGATAGGAAAGGGAAATGGACAAAGGCGGGCAGAGGAACTTGCCAGCCGCGTTTGTACCTTTCCCTCACCGGTCTCGTTCTCACGCCCACTGGCCCTGACTATGCCAAGGGCAGGGTGCACACTCCACCTTTCCCCCTTCCCTCTCTCCTGAGCCCATTTAGTTTCCGCCATCCAAAGAGCACCCGCAAAAAAATGCCAAGGACGGGGAGGAGGGGCGGGATGCTATTCCTCCTGGTACCCCACCGCCCCGCACCCCGCATCCCTTAGACCCATCGCGGCGGCGTCCCGGGCACTCTCGGCGACACCTCTGCAACAACCGACAAAATGGCAGGTCAGCAACAGGAGAGGCCGAGAGCGCCTGCTCGGGTTCTCCCCAAAGGTGCTCCCAGTCTCCCGGCCGCGCCGTCGGGGGTCTCGAACGCCGCCCCCGAGTCTCCAGAGCCTGGGCTCCAAATCTCCCATCCCGGGCCACGGCGGGGCCGCCTGCGCGCGCCTGTGGCCGGCGGCCTGGAGCAGGTGTCCGCGTAACAGGTGCCAGCGAGAGGGCCCGGGCGGCCGGGAGGGGCGCGGGGACTGGAGCGGCCTGGGGGTCCCCGCAATCGAGCGGCCGGGGGGTGGGGGGCGGGCGGGGGAGGGGGCGATGGTGGGGCCGTTGCACTCACAATCTCCAGGCACACGAAGGCCCCCGAGTAGGTCCGCAGGATGTCGGAGCCGGCGGGCAGGGTGACCCGGGGCGCGGGAAAGGACACGGCGGGGTTCGGGGGCGGCGGGACTCCGCCGGCCGACATGCTGCCGCTCCTGCGTCTCGGCGCGCCGCCGCCGCCCTCCGCCGCCGCCTCCTCCTCCTCCTCCTCTTCCTCCTCCTCCTCCCGGGCTCCAGCAGCCGCCGCCGCCGCCGCCGCTCGGGTCCGCGGGGTCCGGGGCGCGGCGCGCGGGCGGGGGCGTGGCCGGCGGCTCGGGCCCCGCCCCGTCACGTGGGCGCAGGTGAGCGCGCCCCGCCCAGGTGCGGCGGCGGCGGTGGCGGCCTGGGCGTGGCGGTCCTGCCCCGCAGCCCAGCAGCGGCCAGCTCGGGTGCTGCTGCGCACGGTCCTACCTCCAAGTCCCCGCGCCCGGTCCAACCCCATGGCCTCACCTGGAGAGGAAGACAGGTGTTGGGAGCCTGGGCTTAAAATCCAGAGGCTCACAGTCACACCCCAAGGTGGTGCGGATCTCCCGAAACTAGGACTCCAGGGTGCTATATGTCTTTTGTTGGGGGCCGCACCAGCTGGTGCTCAAGGGTTTACTCTCGGCTCTGCACTCAGGGATTACTCCTGGGGACCTTGATGTGATACTGATGCTCAGGCCCAGGTCGGCTCTCTGCAAGGCCGACCATCTCTTGGATGTACCATCTCTTGGATCCCTCTCCTCTAGTGCGATGTTTAAACTCCCAGCGTAGAATTGCACAGATGGTTCAGCTCCCAACACCTGTTGAGCTGAGGTGGCTGCCAAGCAGGTGGGTAACCTGCTTTTATGGGGGGTTGGGGTTGGGCTTTAACCAGCAGAACTCAGGGTTTACTCCTGGATCTACGCTCAGAGATGAGTCTTGATGGTGCTCAGGGAATCATATGTGGTGCCAGAGATTGAGCCCGGGTCAGAAATATGCAAGGCTAGCTCTCTACTCGCTGTATCATCACTCCGGCCTATAACATGCTGCTTTTTCACTCCCTAGGTGCGCTCAGCTATAAAACGAGGATAAGGCTTGTCTTCCATACTCCGAATGCCCTAATTTTAAGACTCAACTCTAGAATCTAGAGCATAGCAGTGGGACTCCCCAGTGGGACTGAACAGCAAGACTGAACTTTTTCTCATTTTTACATACTCAAACTCTTGGGTACCCAAGTTACTTTTATTGCGTGCATGAAACACTTTTTTTTTTAATTTCATCTTCCCGAAACGTGAATTGCTCTTGCCTTTTAGCCACTTAGGAGGATTTTTTAAAAAACTTGTTTTGTATGCTTTGAATTTCCTAACTCATTTTGTCCCTATTTTATCTTAAGTTGTAATGTGTTCATATTTTGTTACTGAAATAAGGGTTTTATATGTAGGTGTACACACACACATATATATATATAACTTTAAGTTTAGCAAAAGATAAAACTACATAGATGTATACATATATAAGCTACATTAAATGTATGTACTCTGGATAGAAAAGATATTGGCTAAGGTCGTATCTGTAATTCTAATAGAGTAGATTTTAAAGTTCTCATAACAAGAAAAAAATTTAACTTTTTATGATGAAAGCTTTAACCAGACTTGTATGTCACATATACAACATGAAATCATAATAGTATACAAATATGAAATAAAAGTATACAAAAAAGATATTGGCTAATATCTTTTGAGACATTCTTCAAATTGAGCACTGATCTTGTTTTTCTGGTTTAGCCTTTAAGGGACTGTATTTAGCTCTATGCGCTGGTCAGCAGATTTTAGTCATTTCACCTCGAGTATTTAATAAGCAAAACTTATAGGTGTGGTGGCAGCATAGGGGTAAAAACCACAAAGTAGGGTGTGGGTGAAACTCTTTGTACAAACCTCCCATCTTCTCTACCTCTTAGTCATCACATTCTGAAATAATATGTATCATACTTATTTAATAGCGAGCTTATTTTTTCCTTCCCTCACGATGTTTGATCAATGAACCCTCTCTGTGCTCAGACATGGAATAATCTCTCCATTTTATTTTATGCCAAAACTCTGTTTACTATTTTGCTCTTGAGTCACATCTGGCCATGCTCAGGGATCACTCTTGGTGTTGCTCATGGGACCATACGTATTCAGTACTGGGGATTGAGTGAGGGTCAGATGCATACATGGAAAATGCTTTAATCCTTGTACTGTTTCTCTAGTCCATAATTCTTTATCATTATTTTAAAATTTTTTATTGATTGAACTACTGTGAGTTCCAATACCATTAATCATGGTTTTATGTGTACATTATTTCAACAGTGTACCCATCACCAGAGTAGCTGCTTCCTTCCCCAAGGGTCCAAAGACCCTTCCCTTTCAACCACTCTCTGCCCTCTGCAAATTAAGTTCTGTGGATCAACTCTCACATTCTGTTGCTTTTGACCTTTTGTTGTTATCTTGTTGTGTATCTTTAAGTTCCACATGTGAGAAAGATCATTCTGTACCTATTCTTATTTCTGACTGACTTCACTTACCATGATATTCTCCAGTCCATACAGTCTATACATATCATGGCAAATTGCATAATTTTGTTCTTTCTTAGAACTGTATAGTATTCTGTTGTGCATATATACCACAACATCTTGATCCACTCATCTACAGTTGGGCATTTGGTTTGTTTCCATGTCTTGGCTATTGTATTAGGTGCAGTAATGAACATAGGGGTACACATATCATTTAAAATTAACATTCTGTATTTTGGGAATTGATACCAAAATGGTTTCACTGGGTAATATTGAAGATCTATTCCTATTTTTTTGAGGACCTACATATTGCTTTCCATAGAGGTTGAACCAGATGACATGCCTATCAACAATGGATGGGGGTTCCTTTTTTCACCACAACCCTGCCAACACTGGTGGGTTCCAGATTTTTGATGTGTGCCATTTTCATTGGCTCATGCCAGTGATATCTCATTTGCATTTCCCTAAAAAGTGACAGTGGGCACCTTTTCATATGTCATTGACTATCTGCATGTCTTCTTTGGGAAAGTGTCTGTCCATCTGTCTACCTCCCCTCCCCATTTTTGGAGTGGGTTGCTTGATTTTGTGTCTGTCTGTGTGTGTGTGTGTGTAGCTCACAATTCTTTAAAAACACTTAAAGAATGATCATAGAGAAAAAATATTCCAAGAATTCATCATGGAAATTCTCAGCAACTATGATGGGTTTCATATTTTAGTGAATAAACTTAAAAAAGATTTTGAACTTTCCAGAAGAACAAATGGTTCAGAAAAACCTCAGTTGTGTTTGCTTGAAAAAATTGCTACCTTGGTAAAACCTTTTCCCTATGGCCTTTCCAACATCCTCCTGCTTTACCAGTATCTTCTGCTGTATCTGAACATCCCGCATCCCCACACTTCTACTGGCTGAACAGTAGAATAAAATATGTGCTGAAAGTGGGCAGATGGCCACACATCATAGACTTTCAGTATCTGTTATTGCAAATGCCCAAAGTGGGGAGGAAGAGAGAGAAAGAGAGAGACAGAGACAGAGAGACACAGAGAGAGACGGAGAGACAGAGAGGTGGGGGCGGGGTACTGCCTGCCATAGAGATAGTTGGGGGATGGTGGCAGAAGGGATAAAGGGGATATTGGTGGTGGGAAATGTACAGGAGGCGTGGAGGTTGGTGGAGGGGTGGGTATTGGAACATTGTGTGACTGAAACTCAGTCATGAAAGACTTGTAACTGTATCTCACGCAACACAGTGATTAAATTTTAAAAAAAATTTAAAAAGTCATCAAACTTTTTCTGTTACTGTAATATATTGTTTTAAGATGAAATCCTCCCTAGAATGATTTCTCCCTCATGACAATACCTGCAACTATATCAAAACATTTTCCTCTGAGTGAAGGAAACTCCTGGAATAAAACTAAGAAAAGTACTCTCCTCTCCTGCCCCTGCCACACCACTCCATCTCTTGCTCTACACAACTGGCCTTGAGTGCTTAGCAGGTTAAATCTTTGTCCATCCTGTCACCATGCCTTGCTGACATCTAGTATTACTTTAAATTTTTTTCAGAGACTTCCTTTGAACCCCATAATTTGAAATGTCAATATTCATACAAATATTCAATATTTGCAGCAACATTGACTGCCTCAGAACCACTTCTTAGCTTCAGTTCAGGTCAAATCACCTCCTCAAAATTAGCTGCTGTTATTCCCTTGGATGCTAATGTTTTTTGACCACCTCCTTTTAGTCTTTCATCCCCATGCATCGCCCTGCATTCTGTCTTTCTTATCTTCATATTCTCAAAAATATCTCCATCCACTTTCATGGGGCCCAGTCTAATTTGTCACTGTATACTCATGAGTAGGCCTTTAAGAGATGATTGTATTAGTCTCAGCAATTGCCTCACCTCTTATACAGGATTATATACTTACCCACACATTCTTCTGTCCAATTTCAGCCCACCCCCTACATCTGCCTTCTCTTCTTTAGCTCTCAATTTGTCTAGAGCTGCTGTAAGAATGTCACAATAAGCACTTTTGTTTTCATTAGTAATTTATGCTACCTAACTTTGGTTGGGTTTTTAGGAATTCCCAGTTTTTGTTTTTTTCTATCATTCCTCTTTTCATTTCTCTCACTAATCCCATCGTTTATCTCTCTTTCCCAGTCGTTTTGTCTCACAAATAGACAACAGGTCCAATGAGTAAACGCCAATTTAATTGTTCCAACCTGACTTTCCTTCCCTTCCCTTGCAAAAACTTTTAAAACTAGTAATACTTGTTTCATTTAAAATGCTAGCATCAACCCCATTATCCAAGACAAATATCTGCATGTTTGCCTTGGAGGCACCTCTCATGACACATATGTAATCAGTTAAAAGATTTAAAAGTTCTATTGTCCTGCTCTCTAGGTTATATTTACTACTCCCGTTGCCCATTGCTCTTATATTTTCTCAGGATATTACCCATTCCCTCTTATATTCTATATATTAAGAATAGGGTGGTTTCTAAATACAAAATTGATCCCATTTATTTGTCTCCCTAAAACTACACCAGAATTCAAATCGGGGTGATAATGAAGATATGGTAAAACTTGCTTTGCAAGTCTCTGACCCAGGATTCGCTTCAGACCTGGGTTTGGTTCCCAGAACTTCATATGGACCCCTGAGCCACTGCTGGACTGATCCC